CACGGCCCTCGTCGTAGCGTGGGCGAGCAACAGCGGCCAAGAACATAACCTTCGGTATGAACCTCTTGCTCTTCCACGACCGGCACGGAGTCGGCTCATTTGCCAACAGGTACAAGCTCCGACGGTCTTTGTCGGCTTTGAACCACTCCTCAACCAAGTGGACAACATCCCACAGGCAAAATTGGACGCGTTCTTGCTTGTTGGCATCAGACAGGAGTGGTTTGATGCGTGTAGAGCGACGTAGGAAGGTCCCCTTCTTTAGGTGCCGGCTCAGCGTTCCCACAGGGATTCCCGAAGCAACCGAAATGTCACGCATTGTGGAGCGCTGTTCGATCGGTACAGCACTCACGCGCTCTTCGATGTCTTTAACCGTGTAGCGCTTTCTAGGACCAACTCTACCTGTCTTGTTGGACTCGACAGTTCCGCTCTTGCGAAACTTTCGCCAGATGGCGGAAACCACGCGCGCACTGACGTCAAATTCTTTAGCAGTTTTGGCGAATGCGCCGTGGATCAGCCATCCAGCTTTAAGGAACTGGTGTAAGTGTCGGGCCACCTCGTGTCGCTTGGTGCAGGAAACCTCGTGTAAGGATTGGGGCATGGCGGCAAATTCAAATGTGTGTTGATCTTTATATGTGGTGTGTTTTTATTCGGGTGGTGAAAATGAGAAGTTGATTTTGGGCGCCAAAATTCAAGTTACGCTCTTGACAGCCAATGAATGGTTCCTTTGGATTTTTATGCTCTTCATTGAATGACAACTTTCATCAAGTTTGGAAATGAAATGGATGTGTGGGGTCGTTGAGAAGTCAAATCGACGAGTAATATGGTACAGAGGAAGTACATCTTTGCATTTTCCGTCGGCAAGATATTGTGTCGATGTGACCTTTCAGCAATCTTTTCGTCCAACTGGAAGCTTGCAAGAGTCAAAACCATTCTTCAGCCGCAAACATGGCCTCTACGGCTTCAAAGTTGAGGTATCAGTCCTACCCAATGGACTTGCAATTGGACGTAGTAGACACCATCGCAGCCGACATACAAGTTTTCCGAGATATAAGTCGACTTCGACTACCGTGAAATGAAAAACGATCAAACGAGGATGAGCTCGAAGACAATGGTCCCTACAGTGACGACTTCGAAAATGAGTGGTGCATTCTCGCGGACAAAGGGTACCAAAGATTGCTGGAGCATGTGCGAGCGGTGATCCCCACGAAAGCAAGGCCTCAGCAGCAACTTTCCCTGGACGATGAGCGACTAAACAAGCGCATTGCGAGCGACTGCATCGTGGTGGAGAACTATTTTGGGAGACTCACCAAGTTGCGACGTACTGTATGTGCTCTGACAAGTTTCGCTGGAGTGAGGACTTCTACGATTCAATTTTTCGAGTTTGCGTTGCTCTTACCAATGCCAAAGTGCGCGACCATCCACTTCTCGAAGATGAGCAATTCCATCGGCGCTTATTGAACAAATATGCGAGTATTGCTGATGACATTTCGCAAAAGCGAAAGCTGACCCAGTAAAAGTACCGCACCAAGCGCCGCCTTCGTCTCAAAACAGGTATCAACGACATCGGCAGCTCCGAGTAGGTAGTATAAACATGGTTGAAGAAGAGATTGCATTTTCACTTGAATTGTGTTTTTTCTGAAATCAATTGATCTTTAGGAATAGACATGCTGAATCAAATAACGTCCACGTCTTTGGAAAATGTGGTCAATCCTGGCAGGCCCAAATGCACTCTGCACAGACGCATGTCCAATCACAAATGCAGTTAGTCTTTTCAATAGGATTCACTAATTGGCAATTCTTCAATAACTGCATGGGCGATCTAATAAGTAGATTAATTGAAATCTATTTAATATGATGTTTTGTATGTTCGATAGGAAATATCAAGACAATCGACTGTGTATAACGTGGTCCCTGTACAACACAATATCTTGAGTAATCTTTAAGAATCAGATTGAGAGTGTACAGTGATCCCGCAACGTTTGCACATTTTTTCAAATGTAAACTTTTCCAGGATGACAACGGTACAATGAAAACTCAAAAATTATTTTTTTAAGGCAACTGGATAGAGGCATCAGTCACTTGAGCACACGCTGAATTGAATGGCCAAAGCTGGCGTTGGTGTGGACAGTTTGATCCTCAGGGGTGACAAAAGGTACGATTCCGGTTTGGGCCCAACGGTTCCGAATCGTAGTTACACAATTCCAATACTGCCTTGTCAATAAAGCCCTCAAGAACTTTATATCAAGTTATTTTTCACGGGGTATAAATTTATACCAGGTTGCAAACGTTGCGAGATCACTGTACCAATTTGAATCTTAATCCTTTATAACTTCTAAACTATTATAAACAATCTCGCGAATTTGGATATAAGTTTACACAGGTTCTTTCGTTCGTGATACTGGACGCAGTCGCATGCTGTGTCGACGATGCCGCCACCGGTTGTGTACATGGACGAATCATTCATTCACCACCACTACAAGTGCCATAATGACAGCCTCTACGGCCCAAACGACGCCCTTGACAATGCCACGAAGGAGAAGCACAAGGGCCAGCGCTGTTGCTTTATTCCAGGAATTTTGGACTCGGCAACTATGGACAGCAAGTTTCTGGCCTCGACATCTCCTCTGGCGGCAAAGCAAGAGGCAAGGAGCCCAACGATTACCATAGTATGTTTAACCACGACTAATTTGTCGTTTGGTTTGGCAAATTGCTCTCGGAGATGGACCAGCTCCAAATGACCAACGAACTGATCGTCATGGATAATGCAAAATACCACAAAGGTCGCCCTGCAGACACTCCTTCAAGCAGAATGCGAAAGTAGCACTTGCAGGCCGAATGTGTGCGATTTGGCATCGAATTCGACGAGTCTGACTACAAGAGCATCCTGTCGGAGAAGCTGTCGCAGTATATTCACAAGCACATTGATCCGGTCGTTGTTGACATGGCAAGGAAGCGTGGCCATACTGTTGTGTTTACTCCGTCACACCACTCTGCTTTGCAGCCTATTGAGTTGCTTTGGGCCATTGTCGAAGGTGAAGTTGGCCGTCGTTATGACATTGAAACCAAGTTCGCCGACGTCTAGAAGCGGATTGACGCGGAATTTGCTTCTTTGACGCCTGGTGCTATGAAAGGATGCGTCAAAGCTGTCCAAGGAAAGTTGAAGTTGCTGCATGAGCACCTTGTGCAAGTGGATGTAATGAATGTGGACGAAGGTTCATGTGCTGAGAGCGGCACCGACGGTGACGAGGAAGAAGCATGTGATAGTTTAAATCAGCAGATAGATAGACCTCTGTACGTCAATATATTTTGAATACTATTCCACTTGTTTGTATATAATGTGCAATGCGTTTTGTATTGCTGAAATCTATGACTTTGTCATCCGATATAAAATCCTGTTGGCGGTTGGATGCTGTCAGAGACTGTCAATTCCCAGCTACGACCACGACGACCAGCAACAAATACTACAATATTTCTGAAAACTAAAAATATTTCGACAACGAAATATATTTTCAAGTGATAAGCAACGCATTTTCAAATGAGCGAGTGATGGTCTCACCTGGCATGTCCTCCCAGGCTTCAATAGCGCGCTTAACTATAGC